AATTAATCCTTCTTATGTGGGAGCTCCTTTCCCATTGTCCTGGAAATGGATAATACTCCCGGTACAGCTTTGGTATGTCACCAAATTTGTTTTGCAAAGACTCCTAATCTATTTTCTCCACCATGTCACTTGTGTGTTACTTTCAGTGACAGTTCCATTGTCAGTCCAAGCAAAAAAAAAAAAAAATACCATTGCTGTTTTGCTTCTGTAGTGTTTTCTGCAGACATCCAACCCATAGCTACCTGTTTACACCAGCACACACATGCCCCCGTGTTCATTCAGCGTGATGCATTTACTGACAGAGATTATTTCGAAGAAATGTGCTAAAAGCTGGTTAAAGGTTGCATTAGAGAGAATATAGACACACATACAAGCTTGCAGCACATCGTCACACATACGGAAAGTTTTGCTACGTTTTTGAATCAGAGGGGGAATTGGTCCTGTGCTGTCGAAAATGCAGAAACTGGTAAGAGACAGACGTGAAACCAGACAGATGCGCAAACAGACAGACTGACAGCAGCACCACACAAAGACGGAGGGGAGGCCTGCAGAGAGATGTGAGAGAGTGTGTTAATCCACATGGCGTAGCATTTCCTCTGTGGATCAGTGTGCGTTTGAACTTTTCAAGGGTAGGATGGCAAGGAGCGATCGGCCACTCTGTAAATGTCAGTGGATCTGAACAGCCGGAGCCCAGACAGCCTTGTGCCGTCGCCTGCCACTCACACTCTTCTTTATCCATCCTTCTCTTTTTTGTCTCTGTCTGGGAGCTGTTTATTTTCTCCTCTCCTTCCCCATCCTCTGTTATCCCACCCACCCTCTCCCTCTCACTTTCATTATTGTCTTTTACCTTTGCCTTGCCATTGCCTGCAGGAATATAGCAGATCCTGTAATAGACATGGCTGGTTTTTGTTTCTTTGTTTTTCTCTTTTCTCACCCTTTTCTGGATTTCTGCTCAGCCTAACTCCACCTGACTAGTAACCGCTCTGTTTCACATTACTTGGTTTCAGAGACCATATTGTATTCTGGCTTCTTGCCTTTATATTTCCCCTAATTTATTAGCCTACCTTTATTTTTCTCTGCTAGTAATTAGATTTTTGTTGTGTGTGTGTCTTGTAGAAGATGCTGTTTTATTACATTCTTCCAAACCATCTTCAATTTCCAAGGGAATTATCAAGGGAGAGTCCCTTCATTTAATTTGTACGGAAATTAATTTGTCAGTGTAAGAAATAGGATACTTGCTAATCTGGTTAGGCCAGCATTTGTCCCACCCCCTCCCACCGCCACTTTAGGCCGCCTCTCTGCCAGTGTTCAGGAGCGAGGAGGCAGAGACAGTAGACAGGCACGCCGTTCTTGGAGACGAGGCAGGAATTCAAATAGAAGTGAAGGAAAATACAGATCTTTTGGCGACAAAAGAAACAGTGAAAGGGGAAGTGAGAAAGACACAAGGAAAAGAGGAAGAGTATTAAAATCAAAATGCCAAGAGGCGGGGTCATAAAACGACTGCCTTTATTGAGCGGGGCACAGTGGGCCAGTTGCTGCCTGCGGGCCTTTTCTACTCTTGTACTGCACTGCAACTCCACAAGTCGTATTCATACTTCAGTTCGGTCCAATGAAGCTCCCCTGTTAGGACATTTTGAGTAAAAATGTAACAGTGGGAGGGTAAGGCGATAAATTAAAGAAATGCATATATTTTTGTGCTGTTGTTGCAGGAATATTTTGATTTCTATTTGTGAAAATGATGTTTAGGTCTTTAGCTGCCAAAGCAGAGGCAGGGTGGGGTGGACTGGCAGGTGACGTTCTTTGGCGTTAGTCTGGCAGACTGGGCCTGTGATGTGACGGCTGGCACAAAAGAAGGATCTAGAGTACAAGGAGAAAGAGCCAAGGATAATTCAAACTTAACAAACAAGTAAAACTCTAGGAATTAGCCTAAGCGTTACACCCTAGCAGCAGAATAGTCTGGCAAGAGTGAATGGAAGGACCAGGGATATATGTGCACTGCAACTTGCCGCGCCCAGGCAGACACACAGACAGAGGTGAGGGTAACAAAACTGCCGACCAGCAGTGAAGGCACGGGGAACATGGTATTATATTTAACTGAGACCCAGGACATGTTGGAGAGATTACATCTCTCAGCTGGCCCGGGAACACTTCAGGATTAGCTGGAAGAGGTGGCTGGAGAGACCGAGGTCTGGACGCCCTTACTTCGGCTGTTCTCCTCTCTACTTGAATAAGGAGAAGAAAATGAATGGATAGAGATATGCAAGTTGTATCGGTCTTAAACTTAATGAGTGAAATGTTCCAGCGTCAGTGTCCACATACTTTTGGCCAAATAGCAAGTATTGTTAAAAATGTATGAACATAGAAGTGCTCGCTAATCCAAGAAATATGGAAATTTATGTGCATTGCAGTATCTATCAAAAACTGGAGAAAGAATGAGAGGAAGAAGAAGAGAGAGAGAGAGAGAGAGTGTGTGTGTGTGTGTGTGTGTGTGTGTGTGTGTGTGTGTCAGAGTGTGTGGGGTGTGTGTGTGTGTGTGTGTGTGTGTGTGTGTGTGTGTGTCCCTCTCAGCTCGGTCCCATCCCCCCTGGCCATCTCTCTCTACACTCAGGCAGTCTCTCTGGCTGTTGTGTGTTTGTCTGAGATATGGACTTGGATGCACCGAGCGACCGCCCACTCCACGCATTCCTCTGTAGTCCATCCGCTTCCCTTGGACGTTGAACAAATTGATTTGGGCGTTGATTATTCAAGGGGCACGTTTCATAACTTTTGACTGGCTTTTCTCCAACTCCCACTCCTGTGTTTTTCTCGCCGTGCATCTGGCTCTTTCTATCTCACGCCCATGTCCAGCTGCGGCTCTGCAGGATACCGCAGAAGGAGGCCCGTGGGTCGTGTAGTAACTTCAGATTGCAGTTTGAAGGAAGTTCATACAGGGAGGTTTTGACTTTGTTCACTTTGGTCGCAGTTTGTTAACAACATATCACCTTGATTTGTGCAACTGCACATGAATGTGTTAACTTTTCTCAGTGTTTAATTATTTTATAACACTCCTGGTGATTAAAAGGAATCACTGTACCCGCGGCTGCATAAAAATCTATATGTGTACACTAATAATGAATATTCAAGAAAGATCGGACACCAACTAATAAACCATTCATCACAGGAACATGAGCTGAGGCAGAGCTGCAGACACACTCCTGCTTGTTATTAATATAAATGATCACCAAAAATGACTAATCGACTCAACTCTGTCCCTCTCTCTTGAGCCAGGAAGTCAAATGAGTTTCTCTGAACATGTAGCATAATTTAAAAAAAAAAAGAAAAAGAAAATCCCAATTATGATCAAATTTACAAGGGATTATTTTCCCGTCGTCTTCAGTTCTAGGCAAAGCTTTTAAAAAGCTGCAACAGCTGTAAGTAGACCAGGAATTTAGTAATTACTTCCATAATTGATCGTTTTCTTAATTAAGCAATCAACTTTTCAGTTCAGTGTAAAAAGGCAGTGTCCTGAAATTGTTGTTTTTGTCTGCCAAACAGCCTCTAAGACCTCTAGATAATTAATTAAAAAAAAAAAAAAAAGCTGGGATTAGAAAATGTGTCTTTTTTTTGGAAACAGAAAAAAAAGGCTAATCAGTTATCAAAATAGTTGCTGATTAATTTCCTGTTGATAAACTAATTTCATCTCTACTTAAAAGAACCGCCTGCGTAGAGAGAAAACCGACTTCTTTGACACGAAATATCACACGCAGCTAATTAGCTAATCGTTCAGCTTTATGCTGCTTGCATAAAGTTGGGTCCATCCATTAATAAAGAGTAAAGCTGGCATTAGAGCTAACCAAAAAAATAAAATAAAACTATCAGTTATTTCTTTAGCCACTGCTACCCTCATCAAACACCTTACACAGATCAGCAGTGGGAGAAGACAGTGAGCGAAGAGTGACACACAGAAATGAGCCACAGAGTAAATGAGAGCGTTATAAAGAGAAAATGAGGCACTAGTGATTAATTAACTCCTCTCGCTTCCTCGTCCTGTAAGGCCAGGATAATTTTGTGACTTTATACGACTGCCGCAGTGCTGTGCGCTCCGGCTCGGTCTCGTACACCATGAAACATAGATCAAGAGGAAAGTTTGAGCGCGGAGAGACTGTATTATATGAGCCTCTGCTTGATTGCTCTGCAACCAGAGAAGAGTGAGGGGGAGGAATAGCTTTGGCGAACTCGCTAATACATCTGATGTATTTCTTCCTCTTGAATGTAATGCACTTGCACACCTTATGCAATACAGAAGTACTTGAAGATATAAACAGTCCACTCTGATGTACGAATCTATCCAGAATTTTGCAGCTACTGCTTCCTGTTGAGCCCTTTGGCTCTGTGTGTGTGTGTGTCTGTGTGTGTGTTTGCAGTGTTTGTGTATGAGCATGACGCGCCATGTGCATACGTCTTTTTATTGTCCTCCAGCACACTGCTGTAATCAGGTAAGCCTACCGGCAGTGTTATCTCTGTCAGGTACTGTTAACCACTAGCTAACTCCTCCACAGAGCTCCTTCTGTGTTTCATCCCTTTTCTAGCTTTTCTTTCCTTTTTTCCCCTCTTCAGCAGCCTCCAGGCTCTCTAATCTGCCTCCCCGATGGCTTCCCTTCCTCTCCTACCTCATCTGGTTCCCCTCTGGCACACTTCATCTCAGCGTCACCAGAACTATACATAAGCCTTCTTCTGTCTTCCTTTGGCTTCCTGGGTAGAAAAAGATCCGTGCTGTGTCATCTGGGATGTTGATATGCGTCAGTGGATTTGAGTGCACCCTGTGATTATGCTGTATAAAAAGGATCCTTTGCACAGTGGACTCACACAGTACATGTGTCACCTGTTTGCACCAGACCGCATCAAGTTAATATAGTGTAGACTACATTGCTACTGTGACTTCAGAGCCTCAGCATAAGCATTTTTGCTAATCCCATGCTGCCTGTTTTTTATTTTTTGTTTTTGTTTTTTGTTTTTTTCAGCAAGCAAGATTAAGTTTGAACGAGAGAGAGAAGCTTTAGCAAATCCCATTCATAACCATCAACAGAGAAAGTCGTACTATGATTCAGGTAACTCCATTGAATGTGTTCCAGAAGGCATTACCACCACAAACACAGTCCAGAGGTCCAGTTATGTGACTAGCATAACGGGACCTAGCAGGTGAAATTGCCTGTAGATCAAACCCATTCTTGTACCAAGAAGTTTGTTTCATGGTTGAAGCTGGGGGGTTTGTGGGGATCGACTTGCCTGTGGAGTCAGCCTCAAGTGGCCAAGAGAGCAAATGTCTTAGGCGCTTCAATATGCAGCCCTGAAGACTGTCACTTGGTTAAAACAGGTTCCACATGCACAAACTCATTCATTTTCATAGCTAACAGAGGCTGCTGATGAAGCTAAAACAACTGTGAAACTGTAGAGAAAACCCGAGTTGTCCCTAAACACAACACTGGCACACAGGGAGGGCCTGTGAAAAAGGAGAGGCAAAGTTCAGAGTGGGTCAGCATACAGGAGCTGTATGGTAAAAAAAAAAAAGCAGGGGGATTGTAGAAATTTTATTTGTGATCCAGAGGGCAAGTTTCTTAAGAGGGTTGATCAGGTGACTGGGCACTGGAGGAAACACAGGAGACAGGAGTTACTAAACATTGATGAATAAGCACAGGAACCAACTCAGAAATCTAATTTACTACCACAGTGATGAGGACAGTCTGGTGCAGAGCCCGTCACAGGCAGCTTTAAACAAACAGCCTTCACTGAGCAGATTGCTTGCAGGTGTGTGACAGCAAACCTGCTCTACCCGAGGGCGGAAACCAGCCGGGATCAAACCACCTGCAACCAAACACAGAGAAATACGAAAACAGTCTTCCCCAAACCTGAACCACACACATTCATCACTATGATACATTTGTGGTCAGAAGTACATAAATACACTCATCATGGGAGTGAATGTCATGGTAATTTGGGGCTTTTTCCAGGCTGGAATAATTGTACAACATTCATCTTTGATGACTAACCACTAATCCACACAGGTTCAAAAATATATATACACTCACCTAAATCTTAGCCATGGCCTATTAACGTATCCTAGTGGTTATGCTTGACTACAAGTGTTAGTTTCACTTTGCAACATAAAATATATTTTTTGACAGCACTCATTGGATTGACCAATACTCGGAACAAAGGGAAAGTTCAAGGAACTCAGTGAAAATCTAAGGAGGAGAACTATGCATTCCAAGATCATGAGTTCAAATAATTGTACACAAGGAGAGGAAATTTTGGTTAGGATGTTCAGGAGAAATCGAGGAACTACCAAAGCTCAAGCCTGACATTAATTTGAAGGGGCAACTTGCTAAGGTATATAGTAGGAGTGTGAGTTTATATTTGAGCCTGTGTATAGAACAGTTACAAAAAAAATCAATAAAACCCCAAATTACCCTGAGATTTACTCACATGATGCACATGTAGTAAACCCCCAAAGGCTCATTCTGAGCCACCAAAGAGCCTGATTGCTAACAGCAGTTACTGATAACTTCCTGTATTTGATACATTTGGGGTCCATATATAAAGTGAAACATGAAAGTAGCTCTTCCACGTATCTTCCCCCCAAATTCAAACCCACCCACTGTCTATCCTGTGTGTGTTTGGATTGAAAATGAAAGCTGGCAGTAAGAGTGTTTGCCAAGGTGTCTCTTTGGTGGATAGATGATTTAGTGGGTGATTCTATGAGGAGATTCCTCTGTGGTCTCAGCTGGGATGGAGTGAAAAAGATAGCGAGGAGAGAGTGGGGCGGGGGCCAGACTGCCCTAGTCATTTGATGGAGAGGTGGAGTAGGACTGGGTAATAAGACTGCACAGGTGTCCGTGGGCACACACACACACACACACAGAAGCCTGAGCACATGCACAAAATGGTCCAGCAGATTAAATGCGCTGCAGGTTGTGTGAGACCAGAGAGCCAAGCAGAGAGAATGGGAGAAGGTGTTGAGTCTGTGTGTAAGCTCCAGGGCAGCAAAGTCTTCCTCTACCACTAAGTCAGCTACTGATCTCATTTCTCCCCAGATGGACTCCTAACACACTCCCATCAGGGGACAAATATATATTCTCTCTGTCTCTTTTGCTCACACATTCCTGCACCAGCGACCTTTTCTCTTTATTTGTCTCCCACTCTCTTGCTATGACTTCATCTGGGGCCGTTGGTCTTTGTGTGTGTGGGGGGGGGGGGTTTGTAGTTTTTCTTTTGTTTGTTTTATTCCCTCTCTGTCTTTACGTTCCTCCTCCACACCTACACCTCTCGAACTCTGTATTCTTCTGTATGTCTGTCACATAATTTCATCCTATATCATGCAGTATCTCAAACACCATTGCCCTCTCTCCTCCTCTTTTGATCAATCATTGCATACAGGTGCTGTTAAACTGTGTCCTCTGGTGAACCGGCCACCCCAGAGTGTCCCTTGCGCCTGCCTCCATCCTTGCTCTTTGTCATCGTTCTCATCGCCTCAGCCCTCCAGCTCTTGCCCCAGTTTGTCAGCGAAGCAAAACTGGCTGAGTCTTGGAGCCATCATTCATCTACATCCCCCCCCCCCCCCAACTCCTGACGCATTGGCGGCTTGGCTGGTCTCAGACAAATAGCATCATGGCAGATAATACAGCCACAGCCAGAAAAAGAACCAAATAAATGGTCCCTTCTATGCCGACCTAATGGTCCTGCTTTCCACTTGGCCAGAGGACAGTGCTTAGCCTGGGTACTACATGGATACAAACGTCCGCTTGGAAAGAGAAAAACTCACAAGCCTCACAGGCACCTTATGAATAAAGCCTGTCAGCTGTCAACATATCCCTAGACAAATACAGTGCTTATCGGGGGGATGTTTATTGTGCTATTTGCATGGTGATGTATGAATGTGACATGAAGGTGTCTGTTGCAGGAGTACATAACGGGGAGATAATTCAAATCTCAAAGCCCTAATCACATCTAAAGCGCTATCACATATACGCTAATATTCATACGCATGCAGCACTCGATAACCTTTGGAGATCGGCGATAGATGCCAACATATTTCAAATTGTGCGTCTTATTCTGAAGTTCAGGGGGGAAAAAACCCAACAAGATGTCAAAAGAAAATGCATTTTACGTTGTACAGTTTAGCGCAGCTGCGTGTTAAATATTGTCAACGAGAACGAGGTGTAAGGAGACTGCATAATTAAACAAGTCCGGAAAATCCGTTGCATTGTGACATTTCATTTGTGGTTCTCACTGGAGATAGTTATGCCATATGTTATGAATTTGTCTCCTCTGTCAACGCACCAGGTGGTGGGATTATTAAGCAGTTATAATTATTGAGCTATCAGGGTGTATCACAACATGACATCAATATATTATTACTGCTATACTGTTTATCTATCAAGAACATAAAACAAGTTTTTCCTTCTTTCTTTTGTCATTTTGCAAGTCTGCGTTTATGGAGAAAAATGTAGAATATTGTAATTTTAGGCATCGTCATGGAAAAGCAAAAGCTTTCTACAGAAAAGCTAAGTACACCATTGCTGTTTTCATAAGAATTATGAGGGTGTGTAGCAGTGAGATCATGCTAATTAAATGTGTTTGGTTAAAGGATGATCAGGGAGTGTGAGCACCTCTATAAAAGGCAACGTTTTGGAAGTTTGTTCAGTTCTGGAGCATTCAAAAGAACAATCCTCCCAGGAGTTCATGTCCTATTGCCTCAAGGTCAGACTGTGCAATGTTCAGAGAAACTGCAAAAAATGTTAGAGCTTCATCTCAGACTGTTTGAAAAATTATAACTGAACAAACCACAAGACTTCTGGGACAATCACCTTTGGACATACGAGACCAAAATCGATATGTTTATGAGCACAAACACCTCAAACCAACTATGAATCGCAGTAGACTACAGGTTGTTTTGCAGGTACAGGACCTTGACACCGTGTAGTCATTGTGTTGAACATTAACCTCTCTGTATATCTAAGTATTCTAGAGTCAAACAGCATCTGTCCAACAGCTAAAACTTGGCCTAAACTGGGTCACACAACAGGACGATGATTCCAAGCACGAAAGCAAATCTACAACAGAATGGCTGAAAAAGAAAAGAATTAAGGTGTTGCAATGGCCCAGTCAAAGTCCAGACTTCAACCTGATTGATATGTTGTGGCAGGACCTTAACAGCGCTCTGCAAATATCTGTAGACCTCAATGAACTGAAACAACGTTGCAAAGACGAGAGGGAAAACCCTTCCAAAATGGTGATATTCAGAAACCAATGATAACAATTACATAACATGCTACATGCTACTGAATCATGCAGCATACTTAGTATTTCATAAGACTTCTTTTTCACACAAGTGTATCAGCTTAGCTTCATTTTAACCCAAATTTGGTTGTAATGTATCCAAGTTTTGCTTGCATGCTAGTAAGAATATCCTACATCTGGCTCTTCTGAACTTGCATTTATAGTCCCTCCAACTATAACTATAGTACGTAATACATGTAGCAAAGATTCATTTTTTCCACTGTTGTTTAAAAAAAGCAAAAGGCAGATTGCTTGACTTTTTTTTCCCTTTAATTGAATATCCCAGTTAATTGTTTATTGTCCTCATCACTTTTTTAAGTCCTTAAGAAAGTTTTTTATGACCTTATTGGAAGGACTAAAAAGGACATTGCAAATCACAGATGGGGAAAATGCAATCATTGCCGGTTTCTCATCTTGCTATGATTAAGGCTTGATTATGATTTCTTTAGGGTCACGGAAAAAATCTGGCTTGGATTAAAAGAAAGAAAGTTGAGTGGCAGTAAGAAATCAAAAGTGAGAGTGTGTTCTGTGAAAGCCCATATCCACCTCCTTTACCCTGAAGGTGTTTTTTTTAAAAAAAAAAACAACAACATTTGCTTCTTGGAAAGGCAGTCGCCAAATAAAAAAATTAAATATGTCTAAATGAGATAAAGCCTAATCTGATCACCTAAAATGGAGAAGAAATGGAGCTCAGAGCATCAATAATTTACCATGTTGTCGTTGCACTTGTAAACATTTGAAAGTGTTCGCACCATCATCGTCATCATAATCA